ATGGCTGCTTGCAAGCTTTTAAGATCCCAGTCTCTACTTGCCAAAGTAGGAGGTGGAACAATGTTTTGTGTAGTATGTTATGCCAATTGAGCTTGGTGTCCCATGGTCCCGAGCCCACAGGTCCAACTACTCACTCCCTTTGGGTAGCTGGCTGTGGCCAAGAAGTGACTGCAACCTTGTCCATTGTCAGCTCTACTATACACTTGGTAATTTGGAAAAAGTCTTTAAATCAAGCTTTTAGTTTGAGAAGGCCAGAGGGCCAGTGTGGGGCCACCCTGTTTCGTTTCCCAGCCCAGGAGTGGGGATAGCAGTGAGCATGTCCTGTCTGAGGCAGAACGAGGGTGGGTATCTGGGAACCGGGTACCTCTAGGGGAGGGAACCACGCAACATCCTGCCGCCATCTCTCGTTCTTGTTCCGAGTCGCCCTCAGTATTTGTGCACACAGGCCACCAGAAGACATGTGGAGGCCTTGTCAGTTCCCTCTTGAGGGAAAGGAAGAAGCGTTTTCTCCTGGAAGGAGGGGAGTACTGTGTGGGTCTGGCCCGAGGCTGGCAAACCCCATGACCTATGTTCCCTGCTCCACAGGACAGAGGGTGGCTCTGTGGACTCCTTCTCTCAGGGACTCGAGCGGCCACATAGTGTCAGCAGCAGTGTCCTACAGGGCATCGAGCCGCGGCTGAGGGACTTCCACGGCCTACTGCTCAGCCCGCCAAAGGTGAGGGCGGGAGGCAGTGGACGTGGGAAGGAGACACTTGTCCGTGTCCCCTCAGGCCTTCCCTCAGCACCTGGCCAGTTTCAGGTCTGTTGTGGCGGCCCAGAGCCCAGCATTCAGCAGGCCCTCGGAGCCTCTGCTTTCTGGAATGCAGGCTTAGTGTGGAGCCCTCAGCTCCTGGAGGCCAGCCCAGGTGGCTCAGCATTGCTGGCGGTTGGGGAGGGGTGCATGTGGTCATGAGGAGGAGGGAGACACCACAGAGACTGCACCCCAGCCCTTCAGTCTCTCTTCAGATGCCACTCAGGGCTGCCCACACACCAGCTTCAAGTCATAGCCCCCTGCCTGTCCCCAGTGCGTCTCCTCAGCAACACATTACCCGCTGAGCTGTGTGGCTCCTTTGTCACCATGCTTGTCCATCTCCCGTGAGAAAGTGAGCTTCATGAAGGCTGGTCATGCCCAGCATGGAGAACGAGGCCCTGTATCGGCCTCTGGTGTCTTGTGGTGTCTCCCACCTGCTGGGGGACTCCCCCAACGGTTGGTGTGCCCAGGAGTGCTGGGGCACGGGCCCCGATGATCCCCTCAGCTTCTGCCACAGGCAGAGTGCACCCCCTCAGAGCTGGTGGCCGGGGTGAGGCTGACACGGCCCCTGTGCTGCAGAAAAGCGCAATCCTGACCACCATTGGAGTGCTGGAGGAGCCTCTGGGCAACGCCCGCCTGCACGGGGCTCGCCTCGTGGCTGCCCTGCTGCACACAAACACGCCCAGCATCAACCAGGAGCTCTGCCGGCTCAGCACCATGGACCTGCTGCTGGTGAGTGCTGGCACCACCCCAGCATCGTGTGTCCGCCTGGTGCCCGTCTGTGTTTCCCCCAGAGTGTATCCACGCATCCCACAAGGGCGTCTGCCCGTGTGTCCCACATAGCATGGACCTGCTGCTGGTCAGTGGCTGGCACCACCCCAGCATCGTGTGTCCACCTGGTGCCTGTCTGTGTATCCCACAGAGTGTATCCACGCATCCCACAAGGGTGTCCGCCCCTGTGTCCCATGTAGCATGCCCTGTGGAGGTGTCCATCCAAGCGTCCCACACAGTGTGTCCTTGTGTCCCACAAGGGCTTCTTTCTGTGCCTCAAATGCTGTGTTTGTGTAACCCTAAAAGGTGTCTGTCCCTGTATCTGATGAGAGTGTCTGTCCTGCATAGCCCTGTGGGGGTGTCCGTGTGTCCCGTGAAGGTGTCTGTCCATGTATCTGTTGAGAGTGTCTATGTGTCCTACTTAGTGCACCCTGTGGGGGTGCCTGCCCAGGTGTCCCACATGTGTCCATGTGTCCAGTGATAGTGACCATCGCTTTCACTGGTGTGTTCATCCATCTGTCTATACGTCCCATGTGGTGCGCCCATGAGTCCCTTGAGGGTGTCCATCCTTGTCCCACATGGTGTGTCCCTGTGTTCCACAAGGGCATCTGTTCATACATCCCAATTGGTATGTTCATGTATCTCTCAAGGGCATCCGTCCGTGTGTCCCATGTGGTGTGTCTGCATCCTGTGAGGGTGTCCGTTCATGAACCCACATCTGGTATTCTGTGTGGTATATCGTCTATCCCTTGAGGACGTCTGTCCACATATCCAACAGGGGCATCTGTCTCTGTGTCCCGTGTGGTGCAGCCATGTATCCCACGAAGGTATCTGTCCACGTCCCACATGGTGTCCCCCTCACGGCCGTCTGCCCATGCATCCCAGGTGGTGTGTCGCCGTTTCCCTCAAGGGTATCAGTCTGTGTGCCCGCTGCTTTCGGGACTCTGGTGTCTGGGAGAGAAACCAGGCCTGGAGCAGAGAAGGCTGTAGGCAGGTGCCTCTCAGGACCCTGCAGTCTCTTCCCCACAGGCCCCCCCAGCATTTCGGGCAGTAAGCTGCTGGGCGGAGGTCCCAGGTGAAGGTGGGCACAGGTGTACATTCCTTTTTCTCATTCAAAGATTTTTTCTTTTTTTTTAAATTGTGATTTGGGTGAAAGTTTACAGAGCAAATTCACTTTCCATACAGCAGCTCATATATACTTCGTCTCATGACACTGACTACAATTTCCCACGATGCAACAGCTCCCCTTCCGCTTCCTCCCCATAGTTCCCTCTTCCCTGTGTCCTTCCCTCCCATGCACTCCTGCCCCTGGAGCTGTCTCCCTGTGCACACACATCCTTTCTATTCTCCCACAATTGGTCTCTCCAAGGAGTATATCTACCTGATGTAAATGTTCAGCTCGTATGCCTGTGAGAGACTTTCCTTGTAAAAACATTTTTCCTGGCAGTGGCAATGTGTTCACAGAGGAAAGCAGGTACACCAACTGGTGTGGCTGACCGTGGGTGCTGGTCGTGGCACACCCCATCTCTAGAAGGCTGTGGGAAGCAGGGAGCTCTTCCCAGATGGGGATGTGGGCTCTGCCTTCTCCGTTTTCGGTTATCCTGTCACCGATGTGTCCCCATCCGTGTGTGTCTGCTGCTGCATCCTCCACAGCCGTGTTCTGCTGTGGGTTGTATGTCCCAGCAGAGTGTGTCACCCGTGCAGCCCTGCCGAGCATCCCGGCCACCTCTGCGGGTTGTGGGACCCGTGCAGCGTCCTGGCCACCTCTGCTTCCCTCCTGCGTGTATGACTCCAGCAGATGCTCAGCCATCTGCAGAGACAGGGTCTCCGTGAGTGACTGCCGGCCATCCTGTGGAGGGTGGCGGCTGCTTCTGTGTGCCCTGGGCCCATGCTCCTGCCGGGTGAGCTCGGGTTGCAGATTCAGAGGTCTTTACTGCAGTGAGGCTGGATCTAGGAATGACACTCGGCTGTGGGCTGCCTTGCTGGCTCTGAGGTCACTGCCCCCATGAGGCCTGCCCAAGAACACGGGCTGAGGGGGAGCTGTCAGTGAGGCAGCCTGTGGCCTCTTTGGCTGAGAGAGGTCAGCGTGGGCTTGTGTCTGGGTGCCTGTCATCACCAGGTCCTGCAGCCCTGCCCTGCAAGCACCTCTGTGACGATGGTGACTGGAAACCCTGAGTGCCAAACCCAAAGCCTGAGTGCCAAACCCAAAGCCTGAGTGCCACACTCACTGGACCTCAGGGAGGCTGCGCAGGCCCAGACTCCCTGTGCTGGAGCCAGAGAGCCGTCCATGTGCCCTCTTGTCTGTGCAGACGGGGGGCGTGGGGCGCAGACAGACAGGTGGCATTCTTCCCTGTGGACCTTGGCCCTCCCCATGCTGGAGCCTGAGAACTGCCCATGTTCCGTTGTGTCCATGCACACTTGTTGGGGGTGTGAGGTGCTGACAGACATAGGTGATGCTCCTTCCTGTGGAGCCCCAGCAGGGTATACAGAACTGGCCTCCATTCCAGAGCCTGGGAGCCACTCATGCGCCCTTGTGTCCATGCAGACTTGTAGGAGTGTGGGGTGCTGACAGGCGTAGGTGGCACTCCTTCCTGCGTTGGCTTGTGGGTTCGGTCAGTTATCTGGGGTGGTAAGCAGAATGTGCACAGCCCTGTCTGCTGTGAGGCACAGAGGCTGGGCAAGTGGGGCAGGGATAGGCTGATGGATGGATGAGGAAGGGCCAGTCTCACAGACACACCGGCTGCTCCACCTGGGCCTGTTTGTAACCCCAGGTCACTTCCGCCCCACCTCCCTACACCCCACCCCCATGCTCCATATCCGTGTACCCCACTCTGTGCAATGTGTCCTATGTCCTGTACTGTACCCCTTTGTCCTGCGCCCTGCCTCCTCACACCCTACTTCCCCACATTTCTGTACCCTGCACCCTGTGTCCCTTTCCCCATCCCTTGAACCCTGTATCTCACATTCCTGCAGCCACTCCCACACCCCATATCCCTGCTCCTGTGTCCTTGCACACACACCCCCACATTCTGTGCCCCTGCATCCTCACACCCCTGTACCTCACACATCTTTGTGCCCCACACTCCCACATCCCTGTACCCCATACCCCCCTGCCCCATATCCTGTGGCCCTGTACCCTGCACCCCCATGCTGCCCCATGTCCCCACGCTCCACTGCCCTGGAGGCAGCTCTGGGGACCAGAGGCTGAGTGTAGGCAAAGCAGCACAGAGTTTAGGGGACACTGGGCAGCCCTGAGAGGGAGCTACGCCCTGCTGTCCCACTGCTGGCTACTGGCCTCATGTCACTCTCCTGTCTCTAGGGTTCTGCTCCTGAGGGGCTTTGGGGTGGGGGCTTGTCCTCTGTGGCAGGACGATGGTTATGGTGGTGGTGAAAGTCAAGGCTGACCGTGGGCCAGCAGTGCCCTTATTGAGACTCTTCACAATGGGGGACTTGGTAAAGTGACTGCTGGTGTCATAAGTGGGAGCTGGGATGAGCCACACTGTGCAGGAGGGAGGAGGGGACAGATGGCCAGCCCCATCCTCCCCCTGCCCCACCTCACCTCTCCAGCTCCCTGCCCGTGTGCAGGAGGACCAGGCACACAGACTTTGTGGGTGCCAGTGGGCGGGATGCGTGATTGGCAAGCCCGTCTCTAGCTCCCTGCCAGTCAGAGACTCAGAGACTGCTCTGCCCACATCATGGTGGGGGAAGGGTACACAAGGGGGGGGCAGAGGGCATCCTGGCTCTGCCACCTCTCTCCTCCGGAGGCCAGGGCAGCCAGGAGTTCCTATTGGGCCCCTTCTGGCTTGTGTGCCCATGGGGGGGTTGGGGCTGGTGCACGAGCGCCCCTCAGCATGCTCCTGTCCTCTCTTGGCCTAGGACTTGTTTTTCAAGTACACGTGGAATAACTTCCTGCACTTCCAAGTGGAGCTGTGTGTCACGGCCATTCTCTCCCACACCGCCCCGGAGGACACGCTGGTGATACACGTGAGTGCAGCCCTGGGCCTCCCCCACCCCCCCCCACAGACTCCCTCTGGCTGAGGCCATCTGGGCGGGGGTTGAAGGGGGACCCTCACGTGAGAGGACCTGAGATTGCAAAGGCAGGGTCAGGGCTGCTTGGATCATGGCCCTGGGAGGGGGTGGGCGGAGGTGGCCACCGTTGACAGGAGGCCTGAGGGGAAGCACAATGAGGAGGGGCGGTCAGAGTCCATGAATATCATCCTGGGTCCTGTGGGCCTGAGGTGTGGCCCTCTTCCTGCCGCCCCCCCCAACAAGGCTGGGCCTTCACCGGCAGGGTAGGGACTCTGTTGTGGAGGTCAGAACACACCCCCCCAGGTCGAGGAACCAGCCTGAGCTGGCTTGGGGATGAACACCCAGGTGGTGGGGTGACTGCTGGTTGAGTGTGCTCTGCTGTGGTCAGGATTGGGGCTTTAGGTCAGGGTCCACTTTCTGACTTCTTGCTCTGGCGCTGCAAGGGATGTGGGGAGGCTAAAAGAAGGGGCAAACAGCCTACCTTCCACCCACCAGTCTCCATTCCCGACCAGCCTGGGTACTGTTGCTGTCCGGGCTGGTAGCCCCTGCCTCTGGGTGTTGGTGGGGACCACAAGCTGGTGGCATGAGCCACCGGCCTCCTGGCTCTGATGCCCTTGTTCTCCGTGAGCACCCTGCCCTGATGCCACCTGTCCCTCAGCTGTTCCAGAAGTGCTGCCTGGTACAGAGGATCCTGGAGGCCTGGGAAGCCAACGACCATACACAGTGAGAGCCCCCATGGGTGCAGGGGCGTGAAGGCTTGGTACAAAGATGGGTCCTGCCCCCTGAAATAACTCCACAGCTGACCAGGGAGGTTGGGGCGGGCAAACCCAGAGGAGACAGGTGGCAGCTGTGGTGGGCCCGGGGGTGGGGGGGATTGGGCCAGTTGAGGTGTTAGCCTAGGGAGGGCCACCCTAGGGGGTGAGGGCGACAGGTAAGTGGAGGAGTGTAGGCTGAGGAGTCCCTGCCCTGTGTGCACGGCCCCTGCTCACACAGTTTTCACGGGAAGAGTATGATGAGAGCAATCTCAATCTCAATCTCACTAGCTGCCTGAAAGTAAAATTTAACTTAGAGCCTCTCCCAACGCCCTAGGGGTTTCCAACCCACCCTTTCTCCTGCCGGGTCCTGGCTCTGGGAGGGCTGCATGTGGTCCAGGTTAAGGGTAAGCAAGCCAGTCGCCCACCTGGGGCAGTGGGCAGAGATTGGGTGCCACGCCTTCCCACCTGCCCATGCTCTGCCTTCCTACAAACAAGGATGTACCCGGCACCCCAGTTCTCATGTCACTTTTCTCTGCCTCCCACTAACTGGGTGTCCTGTCCCCAGTACCCACTGTCTTCCTCCCATTTCTCAGCCTGCCAGGAGCACAGGGCTTGGGCCGTGCTTGGGGGTTTCTGGGGCCATGGGAAGCTAAGACTATAGTGTGAAAGCGTGTGCTTACAGCCCCACCATTCTGGTCAGCTCTGGCCACTGCTGGCCAGCAGCTGGACTTGGGCCAAGCCACAGCCTCTCTGGTAGAGGTTGGAGGTGGTTATCTGTCCCGTTCACGCTGCTCAGTGCTGAGATTTCCAGCATGCGGCGGGCCTACTACCCGGGCCCAGGTGCTCTGGCTCATTGCTCTGGGGGCTCCAGGAGAGGTGGGGGTGCTGCAGTGGGACAGTGGTAAGGAGGCTTGGTAGAGTGGGAGGCCTGAGTCCTGCAGGGGGAGAGTCACGTCAGGAGGCTGCAGGGACCACATGGGCAGCACTCAGACTCTGGCAGGCTGGTGACAGGAAGCCTGTGCTCCCTCCCACAGGGGGTCGGGGGACCAGAGTGGGGAGGCTGCAGGCTGGATTGAGGGGCCCTGGGGCCTGGCACTCCACATGCTAATGGTGGCTGTGTGGCTCTCAGGGCTGCGGGCGGCATGCGGCGTGGAAACATGGGCCATCTCACGCGGATCGCCAATGCCGTGGCCCAGAACCTGGAGCGTGGGCCTGTGCACACCCACATCAGCGAGGTCGTTCGAGGTGAGAGCCTTTGGTCACACCTCCTGGCGATGCCAGCGGCCTGGCTGCCTGGCGATGCCAACGGCCTGGCTGGAGCTGCGTCTGGAAGGTCCTGCCCCTTGGCAGGTGGCAGTAACACGGAGGCTGAGGTCTGGGTGTCCAGTTGGGCTGTGGCAGGCTGAGTGTGCGCGTCGGGTGGGGGGCCGGGCCTCCTGTGGTGTCTGCAGCACAGCCACGTGGCAGATGCACCCCAGGTCCTCCTGGGGTGAGAATGCCAACCTGGCCCTATATATGGACAGAGGCCTGTAGGGCCAAGAGGGGCCCGTGGATGTACCCCCGTGGGGCACTGCCCTCAAGCTTGGTCCTCTCCAACCCCAACGCTTGGATGGGCCACAAGGGCCTTGGGCCTAAAGGCTGAGCAGTAGCGCTTCTTTTCAGGGCTCCCTGAGGACTGCCGGGGACGCTGGGAGAGCTTTGTGGAGGAGACCCTGACCGAGACCAACCGTAGGAACACTGCAGACCTGGTGAGTGTGCATGGGGACATGGCCCTGGGCCACAGCCCAGCTCCCCACATGCCCAATGGGCCGACCCAAGTGAGGGCCCTGCCCGGCCCACCTGTTGGGAGCTGGTGGTCTGTGGTGGCCGCAGCACTCCTGCCTGGGCTGTTTCAGGTGAGCACACACCACCTCCACTCCTCCAGCGAGGACGAGGACATCGACAGCGCCTTCCCCAATGAACTGTCCCTCCAGCAGGTACGGGAGGTGTTGCTGTGTCCTGAGGGCCAGGCCTGCCTTGCTGCTACTTGTGCTGGGGAGCCCATGGGGGACCTCGTGGAGGAACCCCATGAAAGTTTCCTGTAGGGAAGCTCTTGGGGAACTGTCCTGGAGGGAGACCCATAAGGGAGCCTGTGGGGGACTTGGTTGAAGGAGCCTGTCAGGGAGCCTGTAGCCTTGACAAGCCCTGTCCTCAAGGCCTTCTCCGAGTACCAGATCCAGCAAATGACGGCCAGCTTTGTGGATCAGTTTGGCTTCAATGACGAGGAGTTTGCAGACCAGGATGACAACATCAAGTGAGTCCCTGAGTGGTCAGTGAGAGGAAACCGAGGAGCCGACCCCAGAGGGTTTGCTGTGTGGGATGAGAGCTGCGGTGTTGTTGGAGGGAGCTGTACCTGCACAGGGGCACCCACGCTGCGTCAAGCTCGTCACCTCTCTGTCCGTACCCAGTGCTGCTCCCCCACCATGGTTCCATTCTTGCATCATTACCTGTCCCACACCTGCCTGGAGTCCCTGAGGGAGGGTGCTGGGAAGGGCTGCCAAGGCCTCCAGGCCTGGCTGTGGATTCTGTAGCTGAATCCACCAGTATTGGACTGAGAGCCTTGACCACTTCCCTGTGGAGGCCGACCCCAGCCCTCCAGCTGAACGAGCTTCACTGGTAGGAGAGCCGCTGGTGCAAGGCTGTCTCTGTCTCCACAGTGCACCATTTGACAGGGTTGCAGAGATCAGCTTTAACACAGACGCAGATGATGACAGTGTGAGTGGGGGAGCAACATCTCTGTCCGTTGGTCCTGACAGAACTAGCCGAAGTGGGTGGGGACATCTAATGCAGGCCTGGCCCTTGACCACAGGGAGTGGGTTGGAGGGCTGATAGGGGCTGGTCTTGAGCCCCAGTGGGTGGGCAGGTCCTGTGGGAAGTCACCGGGCCTCTTGCAGCCACACGTGGTGCTGTTTGAAGCCTGCTGCAGCGACCGCATCCAGCCTTTCGACGACGACGACGACGAGGAGGACATGTGGGAGGATGGCGAGCTGAGTCGGTCAGCCCGGGTGACGGCCAGAGCCAGGTGCGTCCACCGGCCCACCCTCACGGCCCTGGGACACTTGGCTCAAGCGTGTGCATGGATGAGGGGCCTGGATACCACCCTGAGGAGGTGGGGGTTCTGGGTCCTCGGGGGGGCAGGGCTTCAGGTGTGAGGTGGGTCTGGACCAGTCAGCCCTGGCCCTGAGGCCATTACCACCCGCCTTGGCCCTCAGGCCAGCACGTGGGAAGGGATGCTCAGGCTGGGAACCACAGAGCCTCTGACCGTGTGGGCCCTCAGGTTTGGAGCTCCCCAAGCTGCAGAGAGCAGCACAAAGAGCGGCTCCGAGCATGGCGGTCACAATGGGAACACAGACACAGATGCCCTCCTAGGGGGTGTGCCTCTAGCTGGGCACAGCCGGAGCCCCGGCCCACCAGCCCCTGTGCAGAAGGACAGCCCTGGTGTGGAGGCCGATGTGGAAGGTAGGTGCAGAGAAGGGGTGTGGACGGGGCCCTGGGCAGCCCTGTGGAGCACTACAGTACGGTAGTTGTGCCTGCCATCAGCGGACCCGAGGTCAGTGGCCCCGCCCCGCCCGGCCGTCTGCTGTGGCCGCTGAGCCTTGTGGTCATGGCAGCACTTCCACAGCGGGACGCGGGCTGCGGAGCTGCCACCTGGCCTGGGTGGGTGGGGCTTTCTCAGCATATGCCAAGGGCTCAGCCCAGGCTTACGAAGGCCCCGGTGTGCAGGCCCGACGGCCCCACGTGCACACTGCCTGACTACAGATGCTCTTGGCGTGTTCATTGTGATCCAGAACCACAAGCTACTTGGTGTGGCCGGGCTGGGCCTGCACCAGCCCCTGGTGGGGACAGGGGCCCTCTGCCCACTCAGAATCTGCGGCCCCAGAGCTTGACTGCAGCACTGGCTTCGGTCTTGGTGGTAGCCCTGTGCTGACAAGAGCAGGTGGATGGGGACAGTGTCCCATGGCCTCCAGGACCGAGACCACACTGTGTTCCTCCTGCAGGTGCTAGGTGGGCTGCAGTGTTTGACGAGCCCGTGAGCGCGGCACCGCAGGCCCCAGGGGTGGCCGTGGATGTTGGCTCCAGTGTCTGGGCGGTCAGCACACCTGGTGCCTCAGGCCCAGAGGAAAAGGGCTGGGCCAAATTCACCGACTTCCAGCCTTTCTGCTGGTAAGGTGTCAGTCGGCATGCACTTTAGGGCATTCTCCCCAGGGAGAGTTGCCTGGGGGCAGTGCTCACAGCTCAGCTCATGCTACACCTCTCCCCAGCTCTGAATCCGGGCCCCGGTGCAGCTCCCCGGTGGACACAGACACTGGTGACATCCAGGGAAGACCAAACCAGGACCCAGAAAAAGCCTGTAAGTTGCAGCCAGGTCCAGGAGGGGGTGTGGGTGGTGTCAAAGGAGGCAGACCACACCTCATGCTTCTGGGCGGGGCACCGCGCTACACCCCAGGCCTGCTCTTGGCTGTCATGTTTTGGGTTCTCGGGATACGTCAGAAATTGGTGTAGCTATGTGAAGCCCTCCCTGCCCCTGCTGTGTACCAGCGCACACGGTCGGGGGCATGGACGCCTATGGGATGGTAGGTGGCAGGGTTGGGTCACACCATGGGAGCAGAAAGTGAGGTTCCCCCCAACCTGCCCGCCAGTCCTCCTCCTCCAGGGGTGCTTCCAAGACCTCCAGGCTGTTTGCCTTAGGAGCCATCCACCCCTCCTCCTCCCCCAAGCCCTAGCCAGATCCCACACCCCACAGGACCAGGCCTGGGAGCCCTCATGGCCGGGTTCCCAGTGAGTGGCTCTCAAGGTGCACAGGGCAGAGTCAAGTTCCCTTCAGGCCCATGGAGGTGGCCCTGGGCCCTAAAGGCCAAGTGGGGGACCATGGACACCCTCCCTACCCCCCCTGCTAGCTTCAGTTCCTTCCCATATAGCCCCCAGAATACGGCAGCATTTCCTGCCCCTGGGTGCAAGGTGCACCCCTCCACACTCATAACATAAATACCCACACAGTCATGTGCGCCCACGTAAACACATGGCATGTATACATAGTTCACGTGTGCACGCCCACATACACACTGCCCGTGTATATCCATAATGCACACATGCTTATACATGCATGTATACATGTGCAGATGCATGCAGATACACGTGCACTCGTGTGCGCACATATGCACACACATGCCCAGTAGGAGTGCGAGGAAGTGTTTTTATTGAGGTGACTTTGCAGAGAGAAGCTTCCATATGCTCTGGACTGGTTCCTACGGTGTCAAGTCACTTACATGCCAGCCCGTCTGTCCCCGCATCCCAGGTACCCTGTGCCAGCCTCTCTGCCCCAACGTCCTGGTCTTTGTCTTGCAGCCAGCCTCACTACCCCATGTGCCTGGGACACATGTGTCTCCAGGGTGTCTCCACTGGTGGCTTCCAACAGCGGCTCCTCTGGGTCCTCGGAGAGAGAGGACGTCAAGCAGAGGGTAGGGGGCGTCCACGAGGGCGCTGGCTCGGATGTCAGCCAGGGGACTCAACAGGCCATGGAATCCTCCACTCGAAGGTGAGGGGGAGGGCTGGGTCAGGGCACAGTGTGATCCTGACCAGGCTGACCACGGGACAGCCAGAACACCAGCAGTTCCTCCAGGGGTCTGTGGGCCCATGACTGCCCTGGGCTGAGGGGATTCTTTGTCCCCTTGGGCCATCTCTAGATGCCCGAGACCTTGCCCGTAGCCATTTCTGTGCCACTTCCCATAAGTGAGCCTGCCTCAGCTTAGCCAACCCAGCCCAGAAATGCAGACTCTGGACCAGGGAGGCAACGCCGCGGGTGGACAGAGGCAGGAGGGGCAGGGCCAGTGGACAGGGTGTATGTTCAGTGTGCTGGTGTTTGGAGCCCAGAACAGCCAGGCCACCCCTGGAGGGCAGGAGCTGGGGTACAGCACCCCCAGACCACTTTTGGAACCCTTCTAGCCTCATTGGTGGGCACCACTGGCAGGGTTCTGGCCCCTTTAGTAAGAGCTCATGTCTGTACACAGGGTCGACCCCACGTCCCAGGGCTCTTCCACCAGCACCCCTGTCACTGCAGACGCGGCTCATGCCCCAACTGAGGCCATGGTCCCTGTAGCAAACAAAGCAGTCACCACAGCAGTGAGCAAGGCTGGGCCCACTGCAGTCACTTCTACTGCACTGGCCGTGGTGGCACCCCCAGGGCCCATTGTGGCAGTCACCACAGTGGCCTCCCTGGGGACAGAGGACAGGTGAGTGGGGGGGGGGGAACGCTCTCCTGCTGGCCCCAGAGGCCCCCAGGCTAAAGAGCCCTAACCCACCCGTCTCCTGGCAGGAAGACTGACCCGCCGCCACCAGGGGGCGCCACGTCCAATGGCCCTGTGTGATGCTGCTGCCCTAGGCCCGGCGCCGCCCACCGAGAAAACTACCTGGTGATGCAACTTTTTTTTTTAATTTAATTTAATTTTGAAATAAATGCTGCAATGGTAGAGCTGGCAGTGGGAACCCTCGAACACCGGCTCGCGTCCCTCCTGCCATGGTCCAGCTGTGTCACCGCGGCTACTCTGCTGGGGGGACAAGCCGTCCCCACCTGCACAGCAATAAAGCCCACTGCTCGTCTCTGCCTGCAGGACCGCGTCGGGCACTGCCGAGCGGAGGAGCCGCCAGGCCAGGCCACGCGGGCCGGGCTTGATGGACACGGGTGTGGCTGCTGCCCAGGGCTCTATTTTTACTGTTTTTTTTTAACGAATGCAGGAAGAGCCGCATTTTTGCACTTTGTGGTCGCCGTGGTATCGGTGACTGGTCTCCTCGCTCAAGGCCCCCTCCCACCTGGGGGGTGGTGGCTTGTACTTGGGACGGGGAGCACCCCCCCGCCCCCATGCACTTGGGCACCAGGCCATGGGGACGTGAACCCGGGCTGTGGGATTTGACTGCCTTAAACCCACCCTCACAGCCTGGCTGAGCGACCCAGCCGGCAGGGTGCGTGACAGGCTGGCGTGGTGGGCAGGGCCGGAGCCGCAGGGCTGAGTGGGGCCCACCCTGGGGTCGAGGTTCCGCACTCGGGCTGTGGTAGCTCGGCAGGCCCTCAGCCCCGACTCCAATAAACAGCTGTGTCATTCTTCCTGTGCAGACCCGTTTACTGGGGGGCTGGGCCTGGGGGACGGGGGTTGCCAAGCCACTGCTTCCACCACCAGCTCACCCCACCTGCCCCAACCAATCGGGCCCCCCTGCAAGGGGCTGGAGCTGTGCTGGGTCTCTGGCTGGGTGGTTCCCCTCCAAGCGCAAGATGCACCAGCCCTTCATCTTCCCCCTCTGCATTTCCTGAGTCCCACCCCCCATACACACACAACCCCCCTAACAAACACTCCCATCTGGGCCCAGGGGTCATGGCTCTAGGCAGCTGGGTGTGTGTGACAAGCTTCTTCCCCAACCAGCTCTGCTCCCCCAACATTGCTGTCCAACCCAGTGCCCCAGTGCCTTGGGGGGAGGGGGGGCAGCCTTTCTGCTCAACTGTCCAAAAACCAAAGATGGGCAGGGGGTGAGAAACGAGGAAGCTGCAGCCACCAGGGGTGCTCAGCAGTCATGGGGTCACCCTAAGCATCACACCCTAAAACAGAGTCCTGTGTACATGCTGTTTGGGGAGCCCCTCAGACTCTGGGGTTCCGGCCCCAACTAGCTAGCATTGTATGTCCCTTGCCATCAGCTTGATGCCCCAGATCCCCATCCACCAACAGGCCTCTTAAGATGTTCAGGCTCTGAGACACCCATGCGCCCTGCCCCTGGGTGACCTGTTCACAGCTAACGTGGGCCACAGTCTGGCCCACAGGGACAACCCCCCTCCCCAGTGCCCCCCAGCCACCCAAGTCCCACCCTGGGGGCGGCTGCGGAGGACCCACGGAGCCAGCCCCGGAGCTTGGAAGCCAGCTGCAGCCGGGCTGGAGGCTCGCAGCGCTGGGGAGGGCAGAGCAGGACGCGGGCTGAGCCACGTGGTCCACTAGTTCTCTTTATAGACTTGTTCTGGGGATACGTTATGTGGCTGGCCGGCCGGGGCCAGCAAGGTCTGGGCAGGCGGTGGGAACTATTTACACGCCCTGAGGGGCTGTACCATGACTGCCCGCCGTCAGGCCCACCAATAAGTTAAGTCCAGCAGGCCGGGCGGGGAGGGGGCACTGTACAAACTCAAGTGCTGGGGGCCGGGGCCTCAATACTGTCAGGGCCGGTGGGGGGGGAGCTGTAAACATGGCCGGTGCCCCCCCCCAAATGGTCTGTGACACTGGAAACGCCAGGCGGGGGGAGGGTCAGGCATCAGACAGGCAGCTCTGGATGCGATCCACCCACTGCTGGGCCGAGGGCACGTCCTGGGCACAGAAGTTGTAAACGCGGCGCGTCGTCTTCACCTGGGGAAAGCAAGCCAGTCCTCGCTGCTCCGCACCGCGTGCCCCACCCACCAGCCTCCAGCTGGCGCATGCCCGCCCACACGCCACAGCGCTGTGTGTGTGTCCGTCCCAGACCCCCCAGCTCACATCAAAGAAGGCCTTCTCATCCACCGTCTTGGGGGCACCCATGGTGGGCGTGCCGGGAGCAACGGACTCCACCTCGGCGAGGTCGATGATGCCCTTGCACTGTGTGTCCACCCGGTGGTCGTAGTAGCGCAGCTGCACAGGGTTGGGGTCAGGCAGGGCTTGGCCCTCGCCCCCGCCCCCAGCCCCGCCAACCACTCACCTGGTGCTTGGTCTTGTCCAGCACAAACCAGCGGGCTTTCCAGGGCTTCATGAAGGCCCCCTTCTTGTACAGGGTGCCCTCGTATGACCTGCACGAGGGCCGGGCAGCCATCAAGGCCCAGCCGGACCCCAGCTCTCGACGCCCTGGTCGCCAGCCCGGCCTCCGGTAGAGCAGAGGGCTGTCCACCAGGAGCGGAGGGGTCCGAGCCATACCCCTCCCGTGACCGCCACCAGCGGTGGGACCCAGCCGCTGCCCCCTGCGCCGGCCCGGCACACCTGTTCTCGCTCTCGGCCGTCTGGAACTGGCTGTAGAGCGTGCTGGTGCTGCGGCGGGCTGCTTGGCGGGAGCCTGATGCCGTGGAGCCGCTGCTCTGGTCACTGTCCAGGCTGAGGCTCAGGGTCGAGCCCACGGGCCCTTCGGGGAGTAACACGCCCAGCGAGCGGCGGTGGTGTGGCACGCTGGACGCCAGCAGGGAGCCAGGAGGGCCCTGAGTCGGGGAGCTCGGGGTCAGGCCCTGCCCTGCTTCCAGAAGCCTCGGCCAGCCTCTCCCCTCCACGAGCCCTTCCCCGCTCACACGCCCATCCGGCTGGCCTTGCAGGCGCTGGGCAGCTTTCACCCGGTCCCACGTGTCCTTCCAGCGTTCGGGGGGTCGGCCCAGCTCTGTCTCCAGCCGCTGCAGCTCCTGGGGGTAGAGGACATGTTCACAGGACAGGAAGACCGACCCAGCCCAGGCAGAGCCAGCAGGTGTCCCTCAGGGCAGGCAGTGAGGCATGGGGGCAGGGTCAGCAGGGGATGGGTGTCCTAGTGGCCCACAGAGGCCCAGGGCCCTGCTGTGTTCGGCTGACCAACACCTCCCTCAGAAGGCCTTGCAGACGTTGTCAACATACTCCATAGGGAAGGCATCACGGAGGAGAGGACAAAGGGGAACGGGTGGGAACAAGACAGCTGCAACATGAATACAGCACATGGGACAGGGTCGGGTGTGTGTGTGTGCGTGCGTGCACGGGCACGCACACGTGTGCGGAAGTCAGGTCCAGAACAGTGTGTGTGTGGGGGGGGACAGTGGGGTTCATTAGTGGGGGGTGGGGGAGGATGTGCAGGAGCAGTATTTGGAGACAGTGGTTGAAAATTACAAAATGAACAAAAGACATCAAACAGTATGTTCAAGAAGCACCAGGAACCCCAAACAAGACTGCATTCAAGCTGCTGAAAGAAGAGAAAACTCACAAAACCAGCCAGAAGGGAAGAGACTCACTACCGTGGAAAGACAACAGTTACACTGACAGCCTGTGACGGTTATGTTTGTATGTCAACCTGGCACCCATCGGAACTGTGCCTTTTTACTTGACAACCTTGGGGCTTCTCAGCCTCAGCAGCCAGCAGCTGTCTGAGTGAAGAAATGCCCCTAGCTCCAGTGGGCCAGGAGCAGGAGGCAGAGCTGGACCCCAAGGTTGAGGGGCTTTCACCCAGCCCCTGGAGCCTGGCACTTTGAACTTGGACTTAAAGCCTCCAAACTGTAAGAATGAACTCCTGTCTGTTAAGACCATCCCATTTGTGGTATATTCCTGTCAGAGCAGCACTAGGGAACCATAACACAGCCGCATCCAAAATGGCTCCATACGGGACTTCCACTTCCAGCCGTGTCTGGTGACTAACCCCAACCAACCTCCCATCACACCCAACTATGGAAACAGAAATGAGGAGGAGTTGTTTTCAGGTGCTGGACCTCCCAAGTGTAGCACCGAGGTCCATGAAGTGTGGGATCCACACAAAATGACCCAAAATGTGCCTAAAAGCTTGAGAACTTTCACGAAGCTGCTGCATCTATACTGGGGGCAGGGCACACCCCGAGGGCAGCTCCCCTTCAACTACTGCGCTGCTCACAGCAGACTCCACCACGGAGGGTTCCACTCTCATCCCGGGGAGTAACTCCACCCAGCTGCCCAGCCAAGCCGCCAACACTGTCTTCACCACACACGCCGTAACACGTACCACCCTGAAAACATCCCGTTGAGTGCAAGAAGCCAGGCAAAAGGATAAATACTGTATGATTTCACTTACGTGAAATAAGCAAATACACTGAAAATGGAGACTATTACAGGCTACAGGGGTGAGAGGGAGGGGGACGGGCGACTTTGCTCAAGGGGCACCGAGTTGCTGTTAATGGCTGTGGAATAACTCAGAAAATGAGAGTGACAACGGCTGCACAATAGAAAGAATGTAATCAGCATTACTGGATTTTCCAGAGAAACTGCTCAATTAGTCAGTGTTCCAGTGTCCATATACTCACTACAAAAAAAAAAGGTCTTGAAAAGATCAAGCTGATCCACCAGTTCATTAACTGTAAGGAAAAAAACCCAAGACACTAAAGACAACAAAATCCTGAATCTCAGCAATGCACATCTAGTGTCCAGCTCACAAAAAAAAAAAAAAAAATCATTAGACCAGAAACAGCAAGAAAATGAGAACAGGAAGAAAGTCTGAAAAGAAACGGATCCAGAAATGAAGCAGGTGTTGGAAA